TTAAATAACTGACTTGGGGCGCCTGGGTGGCTCAGTTGGTTGAGCGACTGCCTTCGGCTCAGGTCATGATCCTGGAGTCCTGGGATCGAGTCCCGCATTGGGCTCCCTGCTCAGCAGGGAATCTGCTTCTCCCTCTGACCCTCCCCCCTCTCATGCTCTCTCTCATTCTCTCTCTCAAATAAATAAATAAAACTTTAAAAAAAAAAACCAAAAAACTCTGTTTTGTACTCCTCCCACCCCCCACAATTTCCTGGTAACCACCATTCCACCATTTTACTCTTTGATTTTATGAATCTGACTTTTTTAGATTTCACATATAAGTAATATTATACGGTACTTGTCTTTCACTGTCTGACTTATCTCCCTTATTTAGCATAATATGGTCAAGGTCCATCTATGTTGTTGCAAATGGCAGAATGTTCTTTCTCCTGGCTGAGTTCCATTACACACACACACACACACACACACACACACACACACACCCCATCTTCTTTATTCATTCATCCATTGATAGGTGCTTAGGTTGTTTCCATATCTTGGCTCTTGTCAGTAATGCTGCAATAAACATGGAAGTGCGTATATCTCTTCAGTATCCTGTTTTCATTTCCTTTGGGTTATACCCAGAAGTGGAATTGCTAAATCATATGGTAGATCTATTTTTAACTTTTTGAGGAACCTCCATAATGTTTTCCATAGTGGTTGAACCAATTTACATTCCCACCAACAGTGTACGGGAGTTCCCCTTTCATCACATCCTTGCCAATACTTATCTCTTGTTTTCTTGATGATAACCATTTTAACAGGTTTGAGGTGATATCTCATTGTGGTTTTGATTTACATTTCCCTGATGATCAGTGATGTTAAGTATCTTTTAATATACCTGTTGGCCATTTTGATGTCTTCAGAAAAATGTCTTTTGAGATCCTATTTTTTAATTGGCTTGTTTGTTTTTTTGTTATTGAGTTGCATGAGTTCTTTACATATTTTGGATATTAGTCCCTGATCTGATATATGGTTTGCAAAGTTTTTCTCCCATTCTGTAGGTTGCCATTTAATTTAATTAATTTATTTATTTGGGCAGAAGCTTTTAACTTTGATGTAGTTTCATTTGTTGATGTTTGCTTTGGTTGTTTGTGCTTTTGGTGTCATATCCAAAAAATCATTGACAAGATCAGTGTTGAGTAGTTTTGTCCCCTACGTTTTTTTCTGGAGTTTTATGGTGTTGGGTCTTATGTTTAAGTCTTTGATCCATTTTGTGTTAATTTTTGTGAATAGTATAAGATAGGGGTCCAGGTTTATTGTTCTGCATGAACACCATTTGTTGAAGAGACTTACCATTCCCCTTGAGTGTTCTGGGTTCCCTTATTGAATATTAGTTGACCGTATATGCAGGAGTTTAATTCTGGGTTCCCTATTCTATTCCATTGGCCTATATGTCTATCTTTATGGCAGTACCATTAATCACTACAGTTTTGTAGTATAATTTGAAATCAGGAAGTGTGATACCTCCAGTTTTGTTATTTTTCCTCAAGATTGCTTTGGCTATTCAGGGCCTTTCATGGTTCCATACAAATTTTTGCATATTACAGACTTCATGTAAATGAAATTTATATATATGGACTTTTGTTTTTGTTTTTTCTTTTCTGCTTCTTTCACATAGGTTTTGAAATCATCCTCATTGTATTTATTAGTGATTCATTTTTATGGCTGATAAGTAGTTATTGAATGGATATACCACACGTTTATCCCTTCACCTGATGATTGACTTTTGGGGTGTTTGCAGTTTTTGGCCATTATAAATAAAGTTGCTGTGGATATTAATCTTTATTTATGTCTTTGCACATATATTTTATTTTTCTTGGGTAACTAACTAGGATTAGAGTGTCTGGGTCATGAGGCCCCTGGGTGGCTCAGCCATTAAGCATCTGCCTTTGGCTCAGGTCATGATCCCGTGGTCTGGGATCGAAACCCTGCATCGGGCTGCCTGCTCAGTGGGAAGCCTGCTTCTCCCTCTCCCACTTCCCCTGTTTGTGTTCTCTCTCTCTCTGTCAAAGAAAAAAAAAAAAAAAAAAAAAAGAATGTCTGGGTCATTTGATGTAGGTGTATGTTTAACTTTTTAAGAAATTGCCAAACTGTTTTCCAAAGTGGTTATGTTGTTTTATTTTTCTACCAGCAGTGCATGAGGGTTTCAATTCCTCTACATCCTCACTTATATTTGATATTGTCAGTCTTTTTGATTTTAGCTATTTTAGTGTGTAGAGGATTGCATTATGATTTTAGTTTGCATTTTCATGATAATGATGTCAACTGTCTTTTCATGTACTTCTTGACCATTTGCACATATTCTTTTGTAAACTGTCTTTTTAAATCTTTTGCCCAGTTTAAAAAATATTAGGGTGTTTGTTTTATTATTGAGTTGTAAGAGTTGTTTATATATTCTGGATACAAGACCTTTATCAGATATATGTAATGAGAATATATTATGTGGTAGTGTTCTTTTTTTCTTTTTAGAGGAAGAGAGATTGGGGGAGGGGCAGAGGGAGAGGGAGAGAGAATCTTAAGCAGGCTCCACGCCAGCATGCAGTCTGATGTGGGGCTCGATTTCGGGACCCTGAGAACATGCCCTGACCCGAAATTGAGAGTCGGGACACTTAACCGACTGAGCCACCCAGGTGTCCCCTTGTGTTTTTATTTTCTTAAAGACGTCTTTTGGGGCACCTGGGTGGCTCAGTTGTTAAGTGGCTGCCTTCGGCTCAGGTCATGATCCCAGGGTTCTGGGACTGAGCCCCGCATTGGGCTCCCTGCTCGGCGGGAAGCCTGCTTCTCCCTCTCCCACTCCCCCTGCTTGTGTTCTCTCTCTCCCTGTGTCTCTCTCTGTCAAATAAATAAATAAAATCTTTAAAAAAAAAAGACATCTTTCAAAGAGCAAACATTTACCATTGTGAAGTAGCCCAATTTATCAATGTTTCCTTTTATGTTTTATCTAAGAAGTCTTTTTCTTACACTAAGGTTACAAAGATTTTCTCCCATATTGTCTTCTAGAAGTTTTGTAATTCTAACTCTTAGTTTATTTATATATTTGATTTTGGTTGCCCTCTATTAGGATGCTTTATATATAAAGAGAAGAGTAGTTTGTTAAAATAAGACTATTAGTCTTAAGTGGCAGGATATCTTTCCATTAAACAGAGATAACAGGAAAAGCTTCATTTTTGAGTTTTGCAGGAGAGTGACTTAAGTAATGTTGTCATGTTAGTAATGTCAACCAAACTGTTTTAATTACTTTTTCAAAGTAGTTAAAATGATTAAAGTGCAGTCATTTTTGGAACTTATGAAACTCATTTGCAGCTCTTCAGAATATAGAGGTAGGACCACACTAATCTTGAATATGTATGGAAAAAAGGTTTAAGAAAAAATTATTTTTTCAGGTTTTTTTCCTGAAAGTTTTACTTTTTTTAAAAAAAGATTTATTTATTTGAGAAAGAGAGAGAGTATGTGGCAGGGAGGGGCTGAGGGAGAGGGAGAGAATGTCTTAGGCAGCCTCCACACATAGCACAGAGCTGGATGTGGAGTTTGATCTCAGGACCATGAGATCGTGACCTGAGCCAAAACCAAGAGTCCGATGCTTAACCGACTGTGCCTTCCAGGTGTCCCCTGAAAGTTTATTTTAAATGTTATAAGTTAATGTAAAGATATTGTCAGTTGGTTTCTAAGAGAACTTCGAAGTAGTTTTATTTTTATTGTACTATATATCCATCAGTTATATTCTAGATCCAGTCATGTGTTGTGTGTGTGTGTGTCCATCTTTTAGAGTTGTGTGTTCGATAAACATACCTTCTTATTTAAAGTGCTTGGATTCCTTTTTTTTTTTTTTTAAGATTTTTTTACTTATTTGAGAGAGAGAGAGCGCGAGAGAGTGTGCACAGAGGGAAAGGGAGAAGCAGACTCCCCACTGAGCAGGGAGCCCAATGTGGGGCTCAATCCCAGGACCCTAGGATTGTGATCTGAGCTGAAGGCAGACGCTTAACTGACTGAGCCACCCAGGCACCCCTAAAGTGCTTGGAATCCTTTAGTTTTAAGAGAAATCTTTAGACCTTAGAGGTGATTTGTAACCAGTATATACTAAACTTCTTGCTAGTGAGATAAATTAGATTCTAAGAACTTAAACTGACAAGTTACTAATAGTTACAAGAGGGGGCCAAGTTTTTAAAAATGTAGTTATTTTATAAAATCATTAAAATGTTTTGATTGCAGGTTGGAATTTTAAAGTAAAATGTGGCTTCTGAAGTAATGTATTAATTTTAAACCAAAGCTGCTTTATTTTCTAGGTGTTCATTGTACCCATGGTTTCAATCGCACTGGTTTCCTCATATGTGCCTTTTTGGTGGAGAAAATGGATTGGAGGTATTTGTTTCTTGTTATAATGGAAGAAGATTAGTAATTGATAATGAATTTTATTGATTTTTTTTAGTTTTAGCATTTTATATTGCCAAATTTTTGGTGAAGTCCTGATTAGTAATATTTAAAGTGGTTTTCATTTTAGACTTGATTAATCTTAGAATATCATTTATTACCTGGTGTTTTGTACTAAGTAGCACTTTAGTTGAATGTTTATAGATTTTCATATACTATGTATTTTCTTTTCCAGATTTTTTTTTACATATTCCAGAATTATCAGAGACTAGTTTACTCAATATTTTTGTTGTTGTTGTTGTATTCACCTTTGGAAGTTACTGTTGTTGTTGTTCTTTTTTCTTTTCTTTTCTTTTTCTAAGTAAGCTAGCTCATGCCCAACGTGGGGCTCAAACTTATGACCCTGAGGTCCAGTTGCATGCTGTACTGACTAAACCAGCCAGATGCTCCTTGTTCTTTTCATTTTTAATGATACTTTTTTTTTTTATAGCTGTTGAATAGTAGGAAAAACTTGTAATGGTATATGGAGGAGGTATTTTTGGGACAGTTACTCTGTGTGAACCATTCAAGCAAACATGTCTTTATTGAAGTGCCTTTTTAGATCCTGAGAGATTAGAACCTTTGTCGCTTCAAATTCTTGAGTGAATGGGATATTATTACCTGAATTTTCTTGTTTACTGATTGAAGGTCATTATTTTTGTTTATAAAGCCTTTCACACAGTAGGTCCTTCTGTGAATATAATCAGCTGAAGTACACATATGATTCTGTATTTCCCTGTTCACACATCCTCTGGTTCTGTACTGCATGCTCTTCTAGCTCTGCCTTTCTGGCCTTTGAGGTGCTTTTGACAGTAACCCCAGACTCCTGTGTCAGCCTGTGCTTTAGCCTCTCTCTGATGACCTTTGCTCTTATTACCGGGTCTGTTGAAAGTTCGTAAAAGCGAGCATGCTTTTACTTTTATTCATATTGCCATTTACATTTCTTTGATTTCCCCTAGAGTCAGATCTCAACCTTCAAGGCTTTATTTAAACTTTTCACTGACTTTACCCAGGTCTCTTCTGTACAGTCATTGCAGCTTACCTCTAGGGTTTAGGGATTATCAATGTACCTTATATTAAAGCTGTTTCAGAAGGAATTTGTCCTTTAATAGATTGAATGCCTTAGGCATGGGGAATATGATTTGTCCATTTTATAAGCCTATATTATACTTCATTTGGTGCCTGAAATAGAATGAGTGAGTTTTGATAAATCTGCATAAATGAAGAGCAGTGAGGAAATTCCCTGGTGTTTGTTTTCCATAGTATTGAAGCAGCAGTTGCTACTTTTGCTCAAGCCAGACCACCAGGAATTTATAAGGGTGATTATTTGAAAGAACTTTTTCGTCGCTATGGTGATATAGAGGAAGCACCACCCCCACCTTTATTGCCAGATTGGTGTTTTGAGGATGATGAAGATGAAGATGAGGATGAGGATGGAAGAAAGGAATCAGAACCTGGCTCAAGTGCCTCCTTCGGCAAGAGGAGAAAAGAACGGTTAAAACTGGTAATGTTCAAAAATATTCTAGTCTTTACTTTCTTCTCCTGCAAGCTTATTTTTTTTAAAGATTTTATTTATTTATTTGTCAGAGAGAGAGAGAGAGAGCACAAGCAGGGGGAGCAGCAGAGGGAGAGGGAGAAGCAGGCTCCTCACTGAGCAAGGAGCCTGATGCGGGACTTGATCCCAGGACCCTGGGATCATGACCTGAGCTGAAGGCAGACGCTTAACTGAGCCACCCAGGAGTCCCTCTCCTGCAAGCTTATTGAGATTTATGTGTTTGTTTAGCTAGATTTTAAAGTTATTTCATTCTGGCTGTTTTTAAAGATTCTTGGTAGCCACGAGTCTGCCTTTTTCTATGGGAAAAGCTTGTTAATAAGCTCATTTTGTTTTTTGGGGTGCCTGGGTGGCTCAGTCATTAAGCGTCTGCCTTTGGCTCGGGTTATGATCCCAGGGTCCTGGGATCGAGCCCCGCATCGGGCTCCCTGCCCTGTGGGAAGCCTGCTTCTCCCTCTCCCACTCCCCCTGCTTGTGTTCCCTCTCTTGCTTTCTGTCTGTCAAATAAATAAATAAAATCTTTAAAAAAAAAAAGCTCATTTTGTTTTTGATTCTTAGGTAAACCAAAGAACTCTTTGCAAAGTATTGGGAGATTCCAACTACATAGTGAAATTTTGTACTGATGCTTTAGAAATTGTCACATAGTTAAAATAACACTACATATAAATTCTGCTCCTTCCCATGGTTGGTATTTTCATATTTTCTGTAAAGTTTGAACTGAGAAGACTCTTCTATGGACAATTCCCATTAATCTTCTTACTTCTGTGGACAACTCCCATTAAAAGGCCTAACAAAAACCATTAGGAATTCTCTTCTTGGGAGGACAGGAGAGATGCTGGGAAGAAAAGTACTGATGGTACTTGTACATGCACAAATATATGGTATAGGCCAAAGGGAAAAGTTAGGGAAAGTGTGGAGATAATTAAATGTTAATGAAGTTAATTATTAAGGAATGTAGGATATCATAGTTGAGCAGTAAAGACTACTTTTATTAGTAGGCAGTGATTCACAGGCAAGGAAGAAAATGCCTTGTTTTTGTGTAAATCAAATGATATAGTCATTTGGGTTTTTTAAAAAAAAGTCCCTTGAAAAACATTATTTTAATATGTATTTACATATTTCAAACTTCAAGACTTGAGGCCACTGAAAAGTGTTAATTGCTTTGAAACATAGAAATAATTTAAAAAATAACTTACTCTCTTAGTCTAATTCATTGATTACTGAATCACATACCTAGAAAAATAAGAATCACATTCTAAGGAAAGGCTAATAGCATTACATAACATAGCATAGATGACTACTTTCTTATAGTATCATTTTTGTAAGGAAATTCAACTGTATTTTTTAAGAATAACATTAACCCTGAGCATATGCAAATGTGTTTTTGCATTACCATATAGTATTTGAATGTGTAAAAGAGTTTAAAGCAAAGAGTTACTATTTTGCAAAATGTGGTAAAAGTTTGCAGAGTCCCCCTGCCTCCAGCAGAAGGGGTCTTAAAAATGACATTTATTTTATAATATCAAGTGCCATTAAATCTGTATAGTTGCAGATGAGCTTCAGCAGCATTAAGAGAAACATAGCCAAGATGGGCATGTTTCTTTAGGGAAAATAAAGGACGTTTAAAATAAAATTCCCGATCTAGTTTCTCCTATTTTGTTTCGTCAGTTACTAAGAGGAGTGTTTTAAAAATTTCCTACTATGGTGGCATCTGGGTGACTCATTCGGTTAAATGTTCAACTCTTGATTTTGACTCAGGTCATGATCTCAGGGTTGTGAGATAGAGCCCCTTGTTGTGCTCTGTGCTGGGCGTGGGCCTGCTTGGGATGCTCTCTTTCCCTCTCCCCCCCAAAAAATTCCCCACTATGATTGTGGATTTATCTACTTCTCCTTCTAGTTCTGTCAAGTTTTGATTTACGTATTTTGAGGTGATATTATTTAGTTTATACAAATATGTGTAAAGGATTATTATATCTTAACCATGTCTTCAGTTTTAGCATTAAAAATATCTGATGTTAGTATGATTAATTGCCCAAGCATTCTTTTGGATAATGTTAGTATGGATTATCTTTTTTCTATCCTTTTGCTTTCAGACTTTATTTATCCTTTATTTAAGGTATGTCTATTATAGGCATTGCATTGTTGGGTTTTGTTTATCCAGTGAATAGTTTTTGCCTTGTTGGATTATTTGGTCCATGTGCATTTATTTTACTGATATAATTAGATTTAAAACTTATGGTCTTACTCCCCCACCCCTGGTATGTTCCTTTTTATCTTCCTTTCTTGCCTTCTTTATGCTTAATTGTTTTTATATCACCCCAAGCCATTGCTTGTTAGTTATACATTCTTTTACTATTCTTTTAGTGGTTATTCAAGATTTTAGTATGTATCTTTGACTTGTTAAAATCTGGTATATATTAGTACTTTTGCCACTTTAAACAATGTAGGAATCTTAGAACCTTTGGTTACATTTACCTCTTCCTACCTTTTTGTTATTATGTATTTTAATTCTACAAGTATTTTATACCCCATAAGGTGACATCATCATCATTCATCATCATCATCATCACCACCATCATTTTATACAGCAAATATTCATTAGAGAAACCCATATATTTATCCTTTTTGGTGCTCTTCTTTCTTTCTTGTATTTTTATGGTTCCATTTGGATAGTTTTTCTTCTAACTGAAGAGTTCTCTTTAGTATTTTCTTTATTGTGGGTCTGCTGCAACACATCCTCTCAGTATTTGTGTAAAAATGTTTTTTTCGTGCCATCATTTTGAAGAATGTTCTGGGTATAGAATTTTGGGTTGGCACTTTTTCATGCCATCATTTTGAAGAATGTTCTGGGTATAGAATTTTGGGTTAAATATATCATTCTGTAATCCATTTCTATTAAGAAGTTGCTTCTCTGAAGCTAATTTCTTTTTGTTTTTGATTTTCAACAATTTTACTGTGATGTTTCTACTTGGAGTTTTCTTTGTGTTTATTCTGCTTTCTATTTATAGTGATTCTTGAATCTATGGTTGGATTTGTTGTTAGTTATAGAAAATTCTCAGCCATTATCTCTTCAAATACTGGTTCACATCCATTCTTTTTCTCTTCTGAGATTCACCTAATAGACCCCCCCAATGTCTCTTATTTTCTTTTCTATATTTTCTGCCCTTTTTGTTTTTTCATTTTTCAATGTGGATATTTTCTTCTGACCTGTCTTCCAGTTTACTAATCCTACTTCAGCTTTGTCTGAGCTGCTGTTAACTTTATCCGTGGTATGTAATTTCAGTTATTTCACTTTTGGAATTTTCATTTGAGTTTTAAAAAAGTTTTTAGTTCTTTGTTGGAATTCTTCATCTTGTCATTTAGGTTTTTGAATTTATGAATCCCAGTTATTTTAAAGCCTGTGTCAGATAACTAATTGATGTGGATCTCTTCTGGATCTTTAGTTTTTCTTCTCATGTTCTTTTGATTTCTAGTCAATTGTTTCTTTTTGGCACACCTGCATATTTCTGCTTTTTAGACATTATATATGAAAAATTGTGGAAATAATTTGAGACTCTGCATCATGTTTTCTTCCTTCAGAGAACATTTACTTTTGTTCCTACGCAGGGTTAAGAGTAGGACATCTTAACTCAGTAAAGGATTGAATTGTTTAGAAAGTAGTCTTCAGTTTTGGGGGGCTGGTTTCTTTTTGGTTCAACTTAATTCCTAGAGTGTAGCGCTTTGGGGATCCTAACTGAAAGCCTGGAGAAATAAACAGGACTCTTCCTCCTTAGTGGACTGAAACTCCAGTTTTTGTTTCCCCATTCCTGTGATAGTGCAGAAAGCTGTGTTCAGCCTTTTAGCCTCTTACCTACCATTTTGGAAACAGTGCATGTAGAGGAAAATCTATACCAGATATGTAGCTCACCTCTCTGGGTTCCTTTCTTTCTGAGTTCTTGGCCCTTCAAGCCTTTACTGCCTTTCTACTTCTCCAGTGTCTTCAAACAGGTGCGTTTAACATTTTGTCTAACTTTTTCTCATGGCTGCAGAATTGATCTCAATAAGCTAGCCTGCCATTGCCAAAAGCAGAAATCTTTCCTTCTGTTTTGGAGAAAGAAGGTAGGTTTGATTTCAAAGTGGTTAGGTATTTTTTTCCTCTTTTCAAATCATAACTCGTAAATTCTAAAATTGTTAAATATATTTTTTACTTATAAATAAAAGTAGTATACTTACATTAAAGAAAATTTGAAAACACAAGAAACAACTTATAATTCTTCAACTTTTGTTTTACTACTGGCATTTTGTCATCTTAGAAGAATTTCTTCCCATTTACCTATCTTATTTAAAAGTGTACACAAATGGGGCTCCTGGGTAGCTCAGTTGTTAAGCGTCTGCCTTCGGCTCAGGTCATGATCCCAGGGTCCTGGGATCGAGCCCTGTATCGGGCTCCCTGCTCAGCGGGAAGCCTGCTTCTCCCTCTCCCACTCCCCCTGCTTGTGTTCTCTCTCTCGCTGTCTCTCTCTGTCAAATAAATAAATAAAATCTTCAAAAAAAAAGTGTACACAATGACATAAAGATCGTTTTCTTTATAAAATAAAAATACAAACATCTAGAAGTATATGGCATAAAAAGTGAAGGTCTTTTCACTCCCACTCCAACTGCTCTCTACTTTTTGGCAATTCTTCTAGATACTTATTTTTCTATGCATTTACATACATATATTCAATTTTGACCATACTCACTCCACCCCTTTTTAATGTAAATGTATTTTTCTGCAGCTTTTTAAAAATTTTTTAACTTGGGTATCTTTTCTTAGTACATTTTTAACTACTTCATTCTTTTTAGGTAATACCAGAGGAAACAGTTTATATAAAGCAAACAGAATATTTCTTTGCAAATGAGAGAAGATATCAAGCCATACAATAATGACAGACTATTATGAAAAATAACCAATTAGAGATCTTGGAAATGAT